TTATACAGTTGAAAGGACCTTACGTTCGTATGATTCTGGAGCAGTATGATTCTGGAGCTTGTGTACCTGAAATAGTACATCAAACTAATTTTCTCCAATATATAAAAAGAGAGAGTCCCTATGCTGCACATGAGACTTTTCCCTTGTCAAAATTACTGTTTAGGGCAGTAGATAAACTTAGTCTAAAATACTGTTCTTTCATGAACTAAAGATATTAAATCTTTAATTCAGCACTATACCCGTGTTTCACTTTAAGCCTTGCTAAGAAGACAAATTGCATGAAGATGACATATTTACTATTCTAATTTATAATTGAGCAATATCATAAATTATACTGTTCCTGTTCCCAGCATAGAAGTGAATAGAGATAACAGATTCATCACTAACTATAAGAGATACTTCTCCTTAAAATTCAGAAAAATGTTCTCCCTATCCAAAGATGTAGCCCAAAAAGGGGTTAATTTTTTTTGAAAATGTTTCTCTGACTATTGGTAACATAATTTTTCAGTTCATTCAGCCAAGAAATTTGAGTTATTTTTCAGAAGTATGAAGGTACATTAGTTAACTACAGAGACTCTGGAACATGACTGAATGGGTTAAATATCAATCCTGCTATTTTCTAGTTACTTGACCTGCAAAATTCAATAGATAATGGCCTTAATTTTCTCTTGGGCAAAATGGGAAAGCCATTAGTGTATACTCTCAGGAATGTTTGAGAATTAAATTAAATAATAAATGGCAATAAAATAGAGCTTAATAGATAGTAAAAGCCACATAATGTTAATTATTCTTATTACTCTCTGACCTTCATTCCTTCTCTTCTCAGACTTTATTCACATCCCTTCATTCTTACACTGCTGTATTTCCCTAAACATCATTTCCTGTCTGCAAGTTTTTCAACTGGAATCCATTCTCAAGGCAAAGTCAATATTCATTCTTCACTGATACCCAAATAAGGAAACTTATACTTTGAATTGGATCTCACAAAATTGTTCTTAAATGCCTTTTTAAAATGCCTATAAATTAAATTTAAATATCTTAGATAAGAGTATAAGTATTTGTACACCTGAACTCATCTTATTTTCCAGTGTAATCTATTTTTAGTTCAAAACAAGAAATTACTCTGTTGTCTAATGAATTGAATGTGAAGGTGCCACATCACATCTAAATTTTGCTATGCCATTTCACTTCACTGTTAGCATTTTCCATGTGCATTTAAATGTATATTAAATGTAATGTCCATGAAGAAATCTTGAAGCATAAATTTCAATATTATATATCCTTTCTTCCATCTTTTCTAATAATTTTCCCATTTATATAAAAACATCTTTTGTTTTTCTCAGAATATTTGGGACATTTTTATTAATTTGGTCAATTTATTTCAGGAATTCTTTGTATTTACAATGTGGACTTTTTTGACTTTTCTTCTTTCCTGTAGCCTCCCTGTCCTACTTGTTGCTCCCCACGATTAAGATCATGGCCTTCCATTTATTCAATTGTCACAGGTAGCCCCCTTGGAATATTCCGAGACCCATACAGGAAACCATAGGCTCTGTAGAGAAAAGTGCTGATTTTGATCATGCTTATGATACAATATCTGAAAATCATATGGCTGCTTTATCTATAACTATTCATATCTTATTTCCTCAAAGCATCATTTTTCTCTCTCCCTCCCACTTACTCTACAACTCAACTAACCTTGTGCCCCTCAAATTACAAGACTCTCCTCCTGTTGTTTATCAGTTTGCTCGAGTGGGCCTAGTAATGCCTTCATTGTGAGACTTCTTATTACTGGGTTTGGCATATTGAATACATCATGGGCAGCTTGCCAGGCTTTGCCGTACAGGCTAGATACTCTCAGTAGCTTGCCAGGCTCTCCGGGAGGGGCGGAGGAATCAAACCTAGGCCGGCCCAGTGCAAGGCAAAAATGCCCTACTGCTGTGCTATCGCTCCAGCCCTAAATTATAAGACAAAAGTGTTTATTGAAGTAAATAAACTATGATTACTAAAAAATAATCAAAAGTTTAAATTTTCAGAGGTCAGATTTTAAACTGGAGATGGGAATTGTGTAAATCCTTATTCTCAAAATCAAGAGTATTGGTAAGAATATAAAAGATCATCCCATATAAAGTGGATTCAAAATAACAGTGTTTGAAAAATATCACTCAGGTCAAATTCCGATGATGGTTGTTTCAATAAGTATAAAAGCCATTGAGATTATTCAATGGATAAAGTATCCGAAGATAAAGATCACCAAAGTTTGGAAAGGAAATGCAATACTGTGCCAAGTGTGTGAAAAGACAGGCTGAACCGTGCACATCCAGACATGGTAAATAGAGAGGAGAATGATGAGGTCAAGCTGAACTTCTATTTCGAACCTCCTCATTACATGAAGTAGCTGAAAGACTATAAAATAAAGGAGTGGTCAGTCACTTGAAAGTCTGGGGAATAATAATAAAAAAGCATAGAATATTACTTGGCTTTTTTATACTTTTGAAGTTTTCTTTACTCAGAATTTTAAGGCAATTATTTCTTGATTGCTGAGTGATCTTATTGTAAGTGGTAAGTGGTCTTACCCAGTATGAGGTAATTTTCATTATGTTCTGGTTGAAATCAACTACTACTTTACTAAGGAATTGAATTGTATGAACCAAGGTATCAAAAATGTCCCTATGTAAATAAAATTAAGCGGAATGAGCCACAGAATATAAGCACTTAACACTGAGTTAAGAAAGCACAGAAACCTTAGAAATAGTCTCAAGTTTTATTTTCATGTAAAATGGACTTCAATGTTCTGTGCTGCATATTTTATGATATTTTATGTGAAAAATGGGGATGACATAGCCACCTCATATAACTGTAGAGAAATAACATGTTAGACCCAAAGTGCATGCTTGGGGTGAAGTATTTAATATACCAATGCATTAAGATATGAGATGCTTAATTTTAATAGTGTTTCCTTTTAGATAATCTTTCAATATTCATAAAATGTTTAATAAATGTTGGGTGAGATTATTCTCACAAATTATTTCCAATAAAATCAACTATTTATTTTGTATCTATAAAATTTCAGAGTCCACAAGGACTCCACAATTGCTCCTTTTCTCAAAATTTAAAAAATGAGCACAAAATCACACTTTTAGCCTATAAGCCAATATACAATAAGACATGTATTTTAGCTTCATTTTATATACATGCTGTTTAACAAAATGTTTTGACTCTCCACTGAAAGTTCAGAGTAAAGATGTCTGCTAAAAGCATCTTATCCTATTTATGAATAAGGCTAAAGTTGTTTCTTTTCAAACATTTCAATCAACGGTATTTACTGAGTACCTTTGTGGTGTGTTTTTTATATAACATTATTTTGTAGTTACACTACTTACTAGCAAATGAAATCCAAGCTTACTAAATGCATGAAACCCTGTATTCTACATCATGCTCATTTACCTCAGGGGAGGTAATTCTTCATTCATTTTAAAGATCATTAATTCATTTGTTCAATCGCATAGTTAATACAAAATAATACTAGGATTTAAGACCAGATATTCTCAATCCAGAGTTCAAATTCATAAACCACTAAATTGTACTGCCCTTTCTTTTTGAGGAAGACAATGTACAAATTTCAATGCTGCTAACATTGTTTTTATGCTTTTTTAGAAATTACATTATAAAATTGATCTTTAGATGATTTCACTTTATCAAATAAGGAATTTTAACACATTATGGCTAGTTAGTTCTTTAGGGTTCTATGCTCCCTTCCAACAAAAATAAAATATGATAGCATTGTTAAAATGTGTATTCAATGAATGAAAGAAGAGTTTGGAGAATTTCATAACTCTAAGTCTAAATACTTCTTATAAAAGTAATTTAGATAAATTATACACTTTCAGAATTTGCATTATCACTTATTTCCTACAAATTTAAACTAGTACATGTTAGGAATTGGAAAGTATCATTTGAAATAAAAGCAATAATATGATAGACAGTACAAGAAAAATATCTATCACATTTTAATCAAAGCAAAACATCAAATAAGCTATTGGAACATGTTTAAACTATTAAACATTCCAAATTAGAAAAAAAAGTAATCATTAATTTAAGTACTTGGAGGCAATACTTTCCAAAAAGCCTTTAGTAAAATTACAGATTTATCTTTCTGAAAAGAGAAAGGTATTAAAACTCCTTGCATATAAGTTATTTCATTAACTATATGGAACTAAAAACATTCTTTTTCCAAAATATTTTAGGGATAGTAAAAAGGAAACACATACAACTTGTCTAAACAAGAACTGAGTGTTAAAAGTAGGTAAAGGGATATACATGATAACCTTTAAGTATCTGTGGTGAAAAACACAATGCCCAAAAGGAGAGAGAGAGACAGAGACAGAGACAGAGACAGAGACAGAGATACAGAGAGAGAGAGAGAGAGAGAGAGAGAGAGAAGAAAAGTGCCTGGCATAAGCAGGCTGGAGGTCAAGGAGGTGGTGAGAGTGATGGGGGGAAAATTTGAGACACTAGTGCTGGGCAATGTACACTGCTGGAGGATGGGTGTTGGAAAACTGTATGACTAAAACCTAATCAAGAACAGCTTTGTAAGCTCAGAGCGACTCAATCAAAAAAAAATTTTAATTGTCTAAAGTATAGAGAATGCTAATTTTAGTACTTAATTCAATACTCCTTTAGAAATGCCCCATGAATAATAAAAATTTTTCTACATTCTCATTCTTTGCTTATAATTAATATAGAAAAATCTCACATAAATAGTGTGGAATATTATGTGAGCATATATATGGAAAAATATCAAGCTCAGTCATTAAACTCAAGTTATACAACTTAATTCACACAAATCATCCGTAGAATTTTTATTTTTGTACACATTTTTCTTGAATATTCACAAACAGAAAGAACTGCAAATAAAAATGTGGTCTTTTATGACTGACTGCCAAATTTATTCAGTATAAATGAAATTGAATGGAAAAATAAAAATACATATTACTTACTGTATGTGGTGCTTGGCAATTTCAAAACAATTTGCAAACATTCATCTCAAAATACTCCTACAAAATTCATCTGTGAAAAGAAAAAAATTGAAAGTAAGCAACTTGCCAAGGTTACAGAAAACGTAACCCACACTACACACACTTTTAAAACTCTATATACTTTAATACAATAAATAAGATTTGCAAAATATAGACATTGCTTGCATATAGCAAAGCAAAATGAGTGTGGCTAATGAACAGAAATGTCTTCAATGTTATGCTGATACTATAATCATAAACCAAGCAGAACACTCATTAAGAGATAAGGAGCGTCCTGATAAATGTACTTTACAAGTATATAAAAGAAACAAAGGGTCCTGAGAGATGACAAAAAACTAACTTTAATATATGATATACATAAGTAAACTTTATTGAATATTGAAGGTGTTTATTGAAATTCAAGTTCATTTTTTCTGAAATAAAAAAGATTTTATTTGAAAGTTTTTTGAAAGTGTGGAGGGGATAGAATGAGTGAGAGGGGGAGAGAAAGAGAGAGAGAGAGTAACACGCTTAAGAGAGAATTTGGGATTCTCAGAGGGCAGAGAGAGCCCCTACACACATCCCAGCATTAGACATGAAAGCGTGAAAGCACACATCTCAAGAGCGGAGATGTGGGCGACACATGTGCTCAAGGCACCACATGTGCTTGGCCACGTGGACGCAAGCAGCACATGGGCTTGGGCAGCATATGCGCTAAAATTCAAGTTCTTAAATATTTTTTGTCTGACATATGAAGATTAGCTGAATTAGAAGAGAATTTCTTGATTTATCAAGAGAATGCAGCAATTCCCATTATAATCACACTTGAACTACAACTAAATATCAAGCACTGAGAAAATGCAGTTATATCACTTGCATGCCTCACAGAGACACAAACATGATTTCCACAAATTCAGTGTGATTTAAAAGGAAAAGGTATTTCATCAGATTCTATCAATTATTTCATTTGGGTGGAAGTATTGAGAAGAGCTCATTAACATCAAAACTCAGAATATTTCCATTTAAATGAATCTTATACTATTGGGTACACTGCTAATTATAAAAGAGTTGTTCAGAAGACAAAACATTAATAAAATAATCCTTGAAAATACAAAGTGTTACTTCAGACAGATCTAACATATTGTGCACAACACAAATCAAAATTCTACTAAGTGGAGCTGGAGCAATAGCACAGGGGGTAGGGCGTTTGCCTTGCATGCGGCCGACCCGGGTTCGATTCCCAGCATCCCATACGGTCCCCTGAGCACCACCAAGGGTAATTCCTGAGTGCAGAACCAGGACTAACCCCTGTCCTTCACCGGGTGTGACCCAAAAAGCAAAAAGATAAATAAATAAAAAAATAATAAAAGTATATGTGGAAATAACATCAATATCCCATAAAAAAATTCTACTAAGAAAGCAAGTGTCTCTAGAACAGTGCTCAGAAACCAAGAGAATTTGTGCCCAGAGAAATTAGTTCTTATAGTGCTAAACAGAAACACCAGTTTACTAATCCAAGAGGCATACTTTTGTGCTCACCAAATAGCAGAGAAATCAGTTGAACAAGCACAACAAGCACCTTGAGTTGACAGCCTAATTTATCTTTTTCTAGTGTGTGAAAGACAACAGGATGTCTCTGGCCTCTGACTGGCAAGGGAATAATTCTGCTAATGTTTACCACAAAACCTCCCACACCTCACACAAGAGGAACCTAGATGTGATTAGCAAGCTAACAATTGAACCAAACTTATGAAAACTCTGCATTTCTATAAATTTTATCTCCCTAAATTTAAAGCAGACTTCAATAGAAGATGCAAATGTATCTTCATACTATCCACAGGATTACAAGTTTGAAATTTAATGGATTGGTAACTTTCTTCATACTTTAGCAGAGTCATGCTCCTAGGCAAAATAAATCATATTAAAATAAATCACAAGGCTTGCCTAATTTGACACAGCTAATAAGAGATAATCCCAGATTCTGAATTTTTCTGTCCTAGATTTCTTCCCACTCTGACATGTGCCAATGCCTCATTGTTTCCTGAGGAAAGAAGGCAAGCTGGGGCTTGATCAGCAAACGGCTTACTGACATGTTTTGTTTATTTTACACCATAGATATTGAACAATACTCAAAACCTGGAAATTTCTTCTAATAGTCCTCATCTCCGGAATTTATGAAAGGGTGAGTGTTTTGTAAGGCTGGGCTCACAGCCATTAGAACACAGAGAAATGGTTAGCCCTCTTGAATAAGACCAGTTCTTGAGGGCTGGAGCAATAGCACAGGGGGTAGGGCGTTTGCCTTGCACAAGACTGACCTGGGTTCGATTCCCAGCATCCCATATGGTCCCCCAAGCACTGCCAGGAGTGACTCCTGACTGCATGAGCCAGGAGTAACTCCTGTGCTTTGCCAGGTGTGGCCCAAAAAGCAATAAATAAAAAACATAAAAGGGAAAAAAAAGACCAGTTATTGACTTTTGCAAACTATCTTCTACTCTGCCATTTCTAAGCACTGACACATTTTGCTCCTAATTCATACCTGAGTCAGATTTCTTCACTGTAAATTCATAGAAAAAAACGTTCCTTGAATTATAGTCAGAAACTTCATCAGTTGAATGCTTATATGGCTTGCTCTCTTCAGTTGTGGTGAGCATGCACCATCTCTTTGTAGTGCTCTTTAGGGTCTCATTTTCTGGATATGGTGCTCCCCACCTTTAGTGATCTCACCAGGGCCATACCTCTGAGGTTGTGGTATGCACCTCCATTTGGCTGTGTGAAGTCTTATGGCACCAAAGATCACAGCTGCTTGGCTGAAAAAGAGCTGCCAGAATCATGTTCACCACATGGGTCAACAACACGGATTGAACTCATGACCTTAATTTGCAGGCAGGCATTTTATTTTGAGCATTTCCACTACTCTATATTTGATCAGTTTAAAGTCAATAGGGGCTTGATCTATGCAGGACGGGATCTGAGGCACATCTCGCGGAAAACAAAGCTGAATGACTCCGGGCATTCTCTCCTCATTCAAACAGGTACCGCCCAGCGCCCAGTGCCAGAGACTCTTTCTGGGCATGCGCAGCTAACTTGATCCCCTAGACCAGCCAATTTTCACCCTTGATCTGCACGGGATGGGAACTGAGGCACATATCGCAGAAACAAAGCTGAACGGCTCTGGGCATTCTCTCCTCATTCAAACAGGTACTGCCCGGTGCCCAGCTCCAGGGACCCTTTCCGAATACACACCTGACAAGGGGTTGATATCAAGGATATATAAAGTACTGGTTAAACTCCACAAGAAGAAAACATCCAACCCCATAAAAAAACAGGGCAGTGAAATGAACAGAAACTTTCTCAAAACAGAAATCCGAATGGCTAAAAGGCACATGAGAAAATGCTCTACATCATTAATCATCAGGGAGATGCTGATCAAAACCACAATGAGATAGCATCTCACACCTCAGAGACTGGCCCACATCCTAAAGAACAAAAGCAACCAATGCTGGCATGGATGTGGCGAGAAAGGGACACTCCTTCGCTGTTGGTGGGAATGCCGACTGGTTCAGCCCTTCTGGAAAACAGTATGGACAATCCTCAAAAAATTAGAAATTGAGCTCCCATTTGACCCAGCAATACCACTCCTGGGAATATATCCCAGAGAGGCAAAAAAGTATAGTAGAAGTGACATCTGCACTTGTTTGTTCATTGCAGCACTCTTTACAATAGCCAGAATCTGGAAAAAACCTGAATGCCCAAGAACAGATGACTGGTTAAAGAAACTTTGGTACATCTACACAATAGAGTACTATGTAGCTGTTAGAGAAGACGAAATCATTAAATTTACATACATGGAAAGTATCATGCTAAGCGAAATGAGTCAAAAAGAAAGGGATAGACATAGAAAGATTGCATTCACTTGGGGAACATAAAGTAACAAAATAGGAGATTAATACCCAAGAATAGCTGAGATCAGTACCAGGAGGATTACTCCATGGCTTAGAGGCCAGCCGGGCATTCTAGAGGAAAGGGCAGCTCAGATAGAGACAGGAGCACAAAATAAAAGGTGTTTGGAGGATCCTCCTAGGATGGGAGATGCATGTTGAAAGTAGACTATGGACCGAACATGATTGCCACTCAATGCTTCTTTTGCAGACCACAACACCCAAAAGGAGAGAGAGAACGAAAGGGAATGCCCTGCCACAGAGGCAGGGTGAGATGAGGGGGATGGGGGTGGGAGGGATACTGGAATCCAATGGTGGTGGAAAATGGGCACTGGTGGAGGGATGGGTATTTGATCATTGTATAATCAAAACCCAAGCACAAAAATTTCAACTGTACCTCATGGTGTTTCACTAATAAAAAATAAATAAATAAAATAAAATAAAGTCAATAGGGAAATTTCTAAACACATATTAGTACAATCAAGAAAACAAATGATCACAATTGATGATTTTATATCTACCATGTATTAACTTTCAGAGTTAATGCTGGGACTATTCCACTTAATACAGTAATTATAATGGTACAATATCACTGTATCACTGTATCACTGTCATCCCATTGTTCATTGTTTTACTCGAGCAGGCACCAGTAATGTTTCCATTCATCCCAGCCCTTAGATTTTAGCAGCCTCTCTCCCTATGTGTCTTTCCCAACACCATATTGGAGGCTCTTTCAGGTTCAGGGGAATGATACCTGTTGTTGTTACTGTTTTTGGCATATTGAATATGCCACAGGTAGTTTATCAGGCTCTGCCATAAAATAGTACAGCAAAACTAAAAACAAAAAAGCCTTCAACTAAGTGAACTCAGTTCAAAAAATACATGCCACTACATATGAACTTATATAACACACAGATCTTGGTTACATTGCAGCATATTGCAAATAAACTGTGAAATCAATATGCTTTACAGAATTTTTTAAAAACACGGACTCTGGAATTAATTCTGAATAGCTGTGTAATAGAAGCCACCTAAATCTGAAGTTCTTCATCCTCTGTCTGAAAATATAGCCCAAAATAAAAATATAGAATATTAAGCCTTCAGCGTGTTAGGGAAG